AGGGGCCGTCCTCTGCCGGAAACACTGCGACCTGTGAGGTCTATTGTGTTTGTCCCCTTTTTATATCTGCACCCATTCTCCTATCCCTGTGCCCTGCACTAACTTATGCAGGTCCTTGATAGGATGGGAGCATAGTTCCTCCGGTTCTAGCCTAGCTTTCCCAAATAAAAGTGTCGCTTGCGATCCAGAGCCTCGCAGTGACATATTATGTGCTCCGCTGTTTCAGGATCTTTATCGCAGAGTCTGCAGCAAAGACTTCCTTGATACAGATTGAGCTTGTTCAGGTAACACTTGACAGCCATATGTCCTGTCAAGAGGCCTGTTGTAATCCGCAATTTATTCCTGCTAAGCATTAGCAGTTCTTTTGCGGTTTTGGAGCTAGGTCCTTGGATAAAAGCCTTGCTGTGCCTGTGCCCCTGTCTGTTTCTCCAGTGGACATTCTGCTTTTCCCTGATCCAGAGTTTTAATGCACTACGGGCCATACATTTGGGTATTCCCAGTACTGGCTCTGGACCAAGATAAGATGCCGATGATCCTTGCCTAGCTAGCTCATCGGCTTTTTCGTTGCCTTGGATGCCGCTGTGGCCCGGCACCCAGAATAATTTAATTCTGTTCCGTCGAGCCAGAGCTTCCAGTTCACCTAGGCATTCCCAGACGAGTCTCGACGATACCTTTGGGCTCATAAGCGCCCCAAGTGCCGCCTGACTGTCTGAGCATATATTGATGAGCTTATCTGAATAAGCTCTTCTATTGTTTTACCTCGCACATTGTAGAATGGCGAAGATTTCTGCCTGGAATACGGTTGAGTGTTTACCCAAGGAAAAGGATAGACTTACCCTTGGTCTTTCCCCAAATACTCCAGCTCCTGTTCCTTCAGCGGTCTTTGACCCGTCTGTATACCAGGTTAGTCCATCCTGAAGGAATGTTATATCTGTCCACATTCCTCGATCCATTTTGTTGACCTCGAATGGTTTGTGGTAGTGATAAAGAGGGGTCATCTGGTCCGATCTCATTTGGAGTAGAGGTCCCCCGATAGGATTTCCCATCTTTGTGTGTCCTGTTTCTGTCCTATTTCCCAGAGACAAGACACTTTGTTGTCGATAGAGTCCCATTCTTGCCTCCGCCTGGATCACTATGTGAAGAGGCGGAAGGTCCAGAAGCGCCTCCATTGATGCAGTGGGCGTTGATTTCATCGCCCCTGTTATGCTCAGACAAGCAAGTCTTTGCACCTTGCTGAGGCTGAGCATTCAGATATTACCATAGTTACGGCTTTACTCTATGGTTACGGAAATAAAAGGGATGCATATACAGAAATATTTATTTCTTTATCGATGATTCCTAATAGCATAATCCTTGTTTACATTTTTAAAAATGTAAATTGATACTCTTTAGTTTCTAGAGATTAGCAACAAATTGCAAACTGCAATTCAATCACAGCGATTTTAAAATCGCAATCGCAACCTGCAAGTGTCTCTCATAGAAAACTGCGACTACGGTTTAAGGCTGATTCATGGTACACCGTGACGGGCCGGGGCCGTGCGACGGTGAAGGCACGGCCAAACATTGTCAAATGTTATTTATACTTATGCATTCATGCTAAGCCGAGCACGGGCCGAGCTTCGCCGGAACGCGTCCGTACCCCGTTCGAGAAATGTCGGTGTACATTTTTTCCTCAGATCCGCTACGGTCCGGCCCCGTTGCGGGCTAAATACTTCGTTCGTCTACGGGCCTATAGCGACTGTTTTCTAGCAGTGTTGCCGCACCCAACTTTTAGCGCGTACCACACATAAACTAAAAATGTACCACTTTGGTACAATTTTTAAAAAGCACAACAAAATACATCTGCAAATGACTTTAACCGGTTTGGTCGCTGTGAATTTCTTCATAAATTTCTACATAAAAAAACTTCCTGGAGAAAGACACAAATCGAGACGAAAAACATGAAACAGAAATTCAGAAAACCCAATTATAAGTATGATACTCTTATAATATATAATCTGCCTTATAATTGGGTTTTCTGAATTTCTATTTCATGTTTTTCGTCTCGATTTGTGTCTTTCTCCAGCAAGTTTTTTATGAAGACATTTATGAAGAAATTCACAACGACCAAACCGGTTAAAGTCATTTGCAGATGTATTTTGTTGTGCTTTAAAAAATTGTACCAAAGTGGTACATTTTTAGTTTATAATGTGGTACGCGCTAAAAGTTGGGTGCGGCAACACTGCTAGAAAACAGTCGCTATAGGCCCGTAGACGAACGAAGTATTTAGCCGCGGCGGCTCATTTATGTTTGTCGCAACGGGGCCGGACAGTAGCGGATCCGAGGAAAAATGTACACCGACATTTCTTGGACGGGGCACGGACGGGTTCCGGCGAAGCTCGGACCGTGCTCGGCTTAGCATGAATGTATAAGTATAAATAACATTTGACAATGTTTGGCCGTGCCTTCATCGTCGCACGGCCCCGGGCCGTCACGGTGTACCGTGAATCATCGTTTATTCTATTTGCGAGTTTCAATTTAGGCAACCAATATTACTATAGTTGCGATTTGCGATTTTGTTGCGATTGTGATTTTCTAAACTAGGACAGTGATAGCCTTCTATCTGCGAGTTTAAATATTTAGGAGTTGCGATTTTGTTTCAAATGCAATTTTGTGGTCCACTGAAGCATTTTATAGTAAACTGCGATTGCATTTTTTTTCTGATTTTATTTATTTATAGAGAAGGTAATATTTTCTAGGACCAAGATCATAATATACTGGGTCTTTCTAAAGATTGGTTCGAAACTATAACTTTTTTATTTTTTCTGATAAAAAAAAACGACATTTGGTATGAAGCATATGATATAAATTAGGATTGATGAACGTATTCAATTAATTTCGATCACTTCCTGTTTCACCGGAAATGACTACAACTTCTGATTTTTAAATGGCACCCTCGGTATTTTTTTTACTTTGTTCGGCTCATCTCTACTAGTTTCACCTTACTTGAGTGATTTTTTTTAAAAACCGGTACTGGAACTTATGCTTGGACGCTGTGAGAAAAAGAAAATATTCTGTACGATAGAATACAAAAATGATAAAAAAAACTAACATTATTTTTAAAGGATAATGGTCCCACACGATCATATTTCATTTAAAATATTAACATATATGGCACGTAAAAAAGGTATACGCAAAAATGACACGAGTTGGTATTTTTTCGCTAACGAAATTACCTTTATAGTGGCAAAAAATCATGGTAGTAAAAATAGGAAGGCTAAATCGAGGGCTAAATCACTAAATGTCTAGATATGCCTATTAAAAATACCTTACAAATATGAATTGGATTCGCCCACCGAGGCGAGGGTTCCGTACAAATTTGTACTTTAAATAAAGACTATATTTTTTATGATTTATTTAAAAATGTATAGTTTTCAGATTTTTCTCTATACTTGTAGTATAAGACGATATTACTTGCCAAATCTCATAGTTCTAGGTCAACGGAAAATATCCTATACATTTTGATTCCCGTGAGTGTCGAAATATACGTTTTTTTTGCGGTATAAACGCCCTTATATTTTTTAGGTTAACTTAGAAGTTTGATTTTTTCACAGCTTTAAGGGACTCTAAACCCGAGTATATGGTTTTAATTTCAACTCGATACCCCCATTGGTTCCCGAGATAAAGGGTCTTCATAGATAGACGGACGGACAGACAACAAAGTGATCCTTTAAGGGTTCCGTTTGGTCCTTTTGAAGTACGGAACCCTAAAAATGAACTAAAGTGTTATGAAAACACTTCTAACATCTATATACTAATAGCATCTATACATACAAAATATAGTAAAATCTATATCAAACAGTAGGCAGTTGTTATCGTGCACTAATAGAACTAGTAAATTACATTACTAAAAAATCAACTTAAACAGTACTGATAGCTTATACATATACATATCTAACTCTAATCAGTAAGTTATAGAACGTCCTGTATATAATTCGCAAACAATCCCAAACTGTCTAATTTTTCAACCGTATTGTACTTACTGATAGTTCCTGTATAAAAGTAGACATGAAACATAAACAACTTGATGTAATACCAACTAAATTTCTTGGCTTTGTCCAACATCGTTTTCTATAATGACATCTCTCACTATTTGAGAGGCATGCTTTAACTTCCATATATACAGGGCGAGTCTTAAATTAGTGCAAATATTTTTAGGGCTAGTATATTTCGACCAGAGAAACACGATTAAAAGTTTTTTCGCGAAGAAAATTGAAAATTGATTTTTTTTTAGTTTTAGTTAAAAACATAATTATTGTGATAATATGGCAACATAGGTAGTAGATTAAATTTACAAGAAAGAAAATCCAGAAAAGATTCAGTGGTTCTCAAAATTTAAGCAAAAAATCATTTTTTTTGAAAATTTTCAAAGTAAAATAATTCGGTTATTTTGGATTTATTTCAAAAATGGTAAAGAGAAAATATGTTTCTTTTATCGAGATCTACCAGCCCTGAAAATATTTGCACTGATTTAAGACTCACCCTGTATATTTTTAATGGCAACAAAAACACAAAACAGACTTCCTATTGGAGGTAGTAAAAACCTTTGAAAGTAGGAGTTGAAACCGCCAGAAAGTGAAATGAAAATCAATAAAAGTCGATTTGAAAGTTAAGAAAAAAATTATAGCTTCATACTTTTTAATGGAACACACTGTATATTTTAACTTCTTTTGAAATACCTTTATTTATGTGGTTTCCGAGGCACATTATGCCATTTGTCCTCGTTCGAAAGTTAGCTCGAGTCGTATGAGAGATGACACCCTGTACATTTTTACAGGTATTACAGAGGACCCTCGTTACATTGTTTCAGTATAAAAATATAGCAAAGGAAGTGAGAAAAAAATTATTATAATCGCCAAAGCATAGTGGTTGCTGCTCAGTAGAAGCTGGCATACAAAATAAAAAAAGCTAGTCCTATAGACCAAAAAAAAATCGAACTATAAAAACTTCACTCCACTTACTTTGGCTCTGGGTTTTTCCAGATACTGATACGAATGCTGAAACATAAGTAAGATCAGTATTTGTGCGTCCAAAATTTAAAAAAATACATATGGAATATACCGTGCGCTCAAAAAGTTTTTATAAATCGTAGGATTTTACTTTGACAGTTGATTCCGATACAATCTGTCATGTCATGCCTTATCATCATAAGTAAATATGTCTCATCGTATTTTACTATTTCTCAGTGATTGGATTGTTCATACAGTCCATTATATTTATAGTTATATTCGAACCAAAATTAAAACGGTAAATAAAGAAATACTTATCAAAGTAAGTTGTTTAAGATGTTTTTAATAATTATAAACTAAATTATTTAAACGTGTTCGACGATCATAATGGTGAGATTTTCTTGAAAATCAAAACAATTCTAATAGAATTTGAAATAAAATAAGACTGAACGTTTAAACATTGAGCTTACCGTTTTGGTGTGCAATTTTGATTTCTTCATGCTGGCTACGCGTGATCTCACTAGACAGTACCGTTTCTACCATTGTTTCAGGAACCACTGTTGTGTTGTGGCTCTGCAAATACAAACACTATAATTAGTCAACTAGCATATTATTTAAATAAATAGATACCCATTAAACAATATAAAAATCATGATCCATGTGGAGATAGAGATCTTCAATTTAAAAAACAATCGTCGAAATTACCTAAAAAGTTTAAAATCTACAACATAAGAACATTCTCTATAAGTTCGCCTAATGCATTTTTTTTTTATAAGCTTATTATTTCCGGACTTAGCGGCCGTTTCATGAGGGCTTTGGGGTGGTTTTCAAAAAGTTGACACATATGCAAGTTGTTCATAATAAATGGACAAGCAACTTTTCCTCACGAATTTTTTTGTAGCTTCATTATTTTTGGAGATAGCGTCCAGTTCATAACAAATTGGGGTAGTTTCATAATTTTTGTTTAGTTCTACAAATTTACCAACTTAAAGGTGTTCTCAGAAAAGCCAAAAGGAATTCATGGAGAAAGTTTTGCGAGGAAATTACAGATGTCCCGGCATGCTTTCGTATCCATAAAGTCCTGGCAAAAGATGGGACAACCATCAAGGAAATAGGTTTCATTAAGAAAGCTGATGGTACTTATACAGAAACTAAAGAGGAAAGTCTTAAAGAATTAATAAAAGTTCACTTTCCGGCCTCGCTAATTCTGAGGGACTCTACTAGGCAAACTAACCTAGACCCAAGGCTGGCCAGGCCAAGGCCTGTGGATTGGAAAATTGCCACAGAAGTTACCAGACCAAGTAGAATTAGATGCGCAATAAATAAATTCCAGCCGTATAAATCTCCGGGTACAGACGGTATATATCCCATACTATTACAGATGGGAATAGAGGAATTAATACCTCACATATGTAAGATTCTCAAAGCTAGCCTGGCATGGGGAGTCATACCAGAAAGATGGCAAAAGGTTAAGGTCATATATCTTCCTAAGGTAGGCAAGGATCGGACTTTACACCAAAGTCATATAGACCGATAAGCCTATCCTCCTTCCTACTGAAAAAGCTAGAGAGGCTCTTGGATAGGTTTTTAAGGGACGAAGTGCTAAGGGATAGTCCCCTAAGCAATCGTCAATATGCATACCAACCAGGTAAATCCACGGATGCTGCATTAGATGATTTAAATAGGCTTATTTCAAAGTCGATAGAGGACAAAGAAATAGCAATGGCCGCTTTTTTAGATATTGAGGGAGCATTCAATAATGCTACTACCGACTCACTAGTAAATGCAATGAGTAGAAGAGGTACACCTGCAGTGGTATGTAGATGGATAAGGGCCGCCTTAGAAAACAGGATAGTGATTTCCACTCTAGGGCAAGCTACTATCAAAGCAGTAGCGGGTGGAGGTTGTCCACAGGGAGGAGTGTTATCTCCTCTACTTTGGGCAACCTTGGTAGATGACCTCCTCAACGAACTGTCCACACAAGGTTTTTATTGCCTAGGATATGCAGACGACATCGTAATTGTGGTCAGGGGCAAGTTTGCTGGTATGATATCAGAAAGAATGCAGACAGCCCTAAACAAAGTTGACAAGTGGTGCAAACAAGAGAGACTGACAGTCAATGCTCAGAAAACACAAATTGTCAATTTTACAAAAAAGATAGCACCAAAAGGCCTAAAACCACCAGTGCTAGGAGAAACGGAAATTTCATTTGCCAAAGAAACAAAGTATCTTAGGATATTTTTTGATCAAAGGCTTACATGGAATACTCACATAGCGAAAGCAACACAGAGGCAAAGTTTAACAGAGGGCTGCCATCTCTTTAGGTAGGTGCAGAAGGATGTGTGGAAAAAACTGGGGACTTAACCCTAAAATTACTCTATGGCTATACATAAGGGTAGTAAGACACATGATAACCTACGGGTCGGTGGCGTGGTGGACAAAGACATCGCAAGTGGGTGCGGTAAGGCTGTTAAGTTCCACACAAAGGCTTGCGTGCCTGTGTGTAACTGGGGCCATAAAAACCACTCCTACAAATGCGATGGAAGTCTTGTTGAACTTACCACCACTACATATTTTCATACAAGGCGAAGCCAGATCTGTCATGCACAGGTTAATTCACGGTCAGCAGCACATAAGCCAAACGCATAGTGCTGCAAACCAGAAGCTAATCGAAGAGCTAAAAGCAGACAAAGTATTGGGATTACCAATTGATGCAACACCTACTAGGTATAGCTTCAACAACAAATTTAATATAATCATACAAGGAAGGGAAGACTGGAGTAAAGGTGTACCCATTCAAGCTGAGGCAACCTGGTATACAGACGGCTCAAAAACGTCAGAAGGCGTAGGAGCAACCAAAGGAGCAAACCAAAAACGTCAGAAGGCGTAGGAGCTGGGATAGTAGGGCCGAAACAAGGGAGATCCTTCCACGTAAGCCTATCCAAGGATGTCACAATTTTCCAGGCAGAAATAACGGCAATCCACTATTGTGTAGAAGAAATAATAAGGCAACAAAGAACAAATCGTTCTGTGGCCATCTTCTGAACAGCCAAGCGGCGCTAAAGGCACTCAGCTCCGCGGAGGTCAATTCTAGACTAGTGTGGGACTGTGTGCGTGCTCTGAATACTTTGGGCGAACGTAGCACTGTTACGTTGGCCTGGGTGCCAGGGCACGAGGGTCACAAGGGTAACGAAAAGGCAGATGAAAGGGCCAAGCAAGGCTCATCAATGCCATTCATAGGCCCAGAACCCTTCTGCGGCATTGCAAAGGCGGTCACGGGAATGGCCACGGAACGATGGGTAGCCAACAAATCTCTAGAATGGTGGAGAAACTTACCAGGGCAGAGACAGGCGAAAAGGTTCATTGTAGAACATTCGCCAAAATTCACGGTAGACTTGATAAGCAAGGACAGAAAGACAGTCAAAGCTGTAGTAGGTCTACTAACAGGGCATTGTAAGCTAAATAGGCATCTAAAGCTGATGGGATTGACAGACGAAGCTATGTGTAGGTTCTGCCAATCTGAAGAAGAAACGTCAGAACACATTTTATGTCGGTGTGACAGCCTGGCAAATGTGCGGTTCCAGGTAATAGGCAATGATAGGCCATTGCCAAGGAGCTACATGGAGGGTTCAGTTTCCAAGTTGCTAAACTTTGTGAAAAGGATAGGACTGGAGAATGTAATCTAAGGATCAGAAGAGGACAACAATAGATCTGAGAAGGTCACAGTGGATCAGGCCGAAAGCCACCTCTAAGAATCTAATCTAATCTAAGGTGTTCATATTAAAATTATATGCAAACTTCCCTATGATATGTATTTATTTCATCAAGTGAAATAGCACTTGTGAATTTCCCGAACATTTAAAGCTACCACCACTTGTTCATGATCTGGGCGCTATCTCCAAAAATACAAAGGTATATGTCTCTTATTTTGAACGAGTTTCCTAGGGTGAATTTGATGAAAAAAGAGTAACATTGAAAACTACCCTAATTTGTTCATGAACTATCTCCAAAAATAATCAAGCTACAAAAAAAATCATGAGGAAAAGTTGCCATTTATTATGAACAACTTTCACAAAACCACCCCAATTGGGCTCATGAAACGACCGCTAAGTCCGGAAATAATAAACTTATAAAAAAAATTCATTAGGCGAACTTATAGAGAATGTTCTTATGTACAATTTGCGTCTAATTATTTTGTTGTAGTACAGTCTTTAAAAAAACCACCCCTATTGCTCAAAAACCGCAAGGGGAAAATTTCCGATTTTGTTAATAATTTTACACTCAGAAGACAGTCGCTGACAAACTGAAAAAATCAGCTTGCCCATAATTTTTTTTTTCACTCTCTATACGGCGATACAATTTTACTGGATACATTGTACTGATTTGATTGATTACAGATACATTGTATAAGATTTAGTTTTCGTTATTTATAATTAAACTTAAACAAGGTTAAAGGGGTATATTTTTATACTGAAATAGATAAATTAATCATAATTGGTTAGTATCTCTGCACTTTACCATACAGGATATTTTGTTCCCATCTTTTCTGAAATTTTTACCCTCTTTCAGCAATTTTTTATTTGTTAGTGGCATTTTCTCGTATGAATAATTAAAAATATAAGTCTTGTAGGAAGTGGCAATATTACACATCCCTTTTAGTGTCATAACCATGGTAATATCAGAGATTAAAAGATTACACCGTGGGAAAATTTGCGGTGAACAGTTCTAAAAAGTTTCCGAAAAATATACAGGGAAATTTAAAACAAAATGCACGATTTTCAACATCTTTTTTTTGCGAAAAAAACTCATAGACGCGTTCTTCTTGCTTTGGATTCATTCAAACTATATGCATATTCATTAAAAAACATCTAATAAACTCTGAAAACTGGAATTTACTATCAGTGATTATACGGTTAAATAATCTAGACTATTATCGAATTTCTCATTTTATTTTGAATGTTCTTCCCTTAAAAATAATCCAATGCCGTTTTCCCCAACTAACCCCAAGACTTAATAAGGCTTTGATTATTTTCTAAGCGCTACGGATACGAACGAACCTTTATAATGGAAAATAAAACAATTCCGTATAATAGCGCGAAAAGGAGCTTTGTTGCCATTAAACCGATTCAAGACGCTCGATCTATTGTTCTTGCCTCTCAATCCTACTTTAAAGTCATAGAAACTCGTAGTTCTGCAGTGTCTTAGGGTTAATTCAAACATTACCACTGTTGTTTCTTGGGCTGATTAAATATTCATATCACATCAGCAATTACACAGTTTGAAACTTATTTATTTACCTTTAGATGCGTTACGACGTGGAAAGTTCACGTCAAAAAGAAAAGTATAAAAGAAAAATATCTTCAATCAAAAAATCAATTCCGTCATTTTACAGGGGGTCCCGTTTTGGTTGAAATCATACGGTATCTCCGTTATTAGTAAAGATAGGAAGATGCTGTAAACAAAATTTTCATAGCCCTCTTCGTTTCTGAACTACAGGGCATTTTAGAACATTTTGCACTTTGGGACAGCCCCCGTATCTCCGTTATTGTGGATAGTGATGTGCAGGTCGGAAC